TCTATCAACCACAACCAGAATAGTGTCTTTCCCTTGAGCTTTTGGCAATCCACCAATAAAATCCATGCTTATATCAGTCCAAATGCAATCTGGAATAGGTAATGGTTGTAACAACCCTGCAGGATTCAAGGCCTGATACTTGTTTCTTTGAAAAACATCACAATTCTGCACATATTGTTGTATCTGCTTCCTCATACCCACCCAGTAGAACAGTTTTGAGATCCTCTTCATAGTTCTGAAATTACCAGAATGCCCTCCTGTTGCAGAATCATGATATTCCAGAAGAATCCTTGTCACTCTTGGGGAATTTTGGGGTATCATCAGCCTTCCTTTGTAGTATAACAACCCCTTCTTCAGTCTGAAATCCGCCATATGATCCGGATGACTTAGAATCTTCTGAATAATATCAGCACACTTTGGATCTTCCAGCAGCTCATCTTCTAATCCTTCCCATTCCTGACAATTTACAATTGATAAAGCTGAAAATTTTGATTTCCTTGACAGAGCATCTGCCGCTTTATTCTCGCATCCAGGTTTATATTTAATGATAAAATTGTATCCCATTAGCTTGGCAATCCACTTTTGTTGATCCTCTCCCATGATTCTTTGCTCAGTCAAGTATTTGAGGCTTCATCAGTGTGAACCTCAAATTTCCTGCCAAGTAAGTAGGGCCTCCACTTTTGGATTGCAAACACAATTGCCATCAACTCTTTTTCATAAACAGATTTACTCAAATGTTTAGGTGCTAGTTCCTTGCTCAAAAAGGCAATGGGACCCCCATCTTGCATAAGTACTGCCCCTAACCCCCTTCCAGATGCATCAGTTTCTACTACAAAAACTTTATTGAAATCATGGATTCTCAACACTGGTAAAGAAGACATAGCATTCTTCAACTCAGCAAAAGCTTTCGTAGCCATATCACTCCATTTAAACCCATCCTTCTTCAGCAATTGTGTTAATGGAGCAGCAATGTGACTATAGCCCTTGACAAACCTCCTTTAAATCTTTTGGTACAGCCCACTCTACCATGGCCTTAGTTTTACTAGGGTCAGCTGCCACCCCTTCTGCAGAAATGATATGACCCAAATAACTCAGTTGCTCTTGACCAAAGGAACATTTCTTCTGATTTGCTACCAAGTCATTCCTCTTTAAAGCGTCCAGGACTAATTTGAGGTGTTCTTTATGATCCTCCTTGGTTTTGCTGTAAACCAGTATATCATCAAAGAATACCAAGGCAAATTTCATGAGAAAAGGTCTCAAAACTTCATTCATTAGAGCCTGAAATGTTGAAGGTGCATTAGTCAACCCAAATGGCATGACTAGGTACTCGTAATGACCTTCATGTGTTCTGAAAGCAGTCTTATAGGTATCACTCTCCTTCATTCTGATTTGGTGGTAGCCTGACTTCAGATCCAGTTTAGAAAAAACCCTTGCTCCCCCCAATTCATCTAGCAACTCCTCTATAACTGGTATGGGAAACTTATCAGGTATTGTGATCTTATTCAGGGCTCTATAATCACCACAAAATCGCCAACCACCATCTTTTTTTCTGGCCAATAAGATAGGACTGCTGTAGGGACTAGTACTGTGCTTAATGATACCAGTTTTTAACATTTCACCAATTACTTTCTCTATCTCATTTTTCTGATCAAAAGTGTACCTGTAGGGCCTCAGATTTGGTATACTAGCTCCTTCTTGGATGTTTATGGCATGGTCACAATCTCTAGCAGGAGGAAACTTCAACTGATTAGTAAACACTTCTGGAAATTCAGCAATGATGTCTTCCCAAACCTTGGCTTCCTTAATATTCTGTTCCAAACCATACAACTGTCCTTCATACAACAACAACATCCAAGCCTTAGTCCCAAAAGATATTGGGGTCGGCTAACATCCATCTCCTTCTTTCTGCAGAATATGAAGCATAGTTTTCACTGGAACCTCCCAATTATTCAGTGCTGCTACCCCTTGGATACAATTTATCCTTTCTTGTTGTTTCCATCTTATTACTTGCTTCTGAAAATTCACTTCCATGTCGCCCAACTCAGTCAGCCATGTCATACCCAAAACAATATCTGTGCCACCCAATTCCAGAATATAATATGATTGATGTATGGTATTTCCTTGCACTTCCAGCTTCATTCCATCACATCTGCCATTATTATGGATGAGATCCCCATTGCCAATCTGCACTTTAACTCCTTGTATAGGCATAGAAGGTACCCCCACCTGTCAATGAAACCCTGCGCTATGAAATTGTGTGTTGCTCCACTGTCAATCAGAATGTTCACAGGTTGTTTCCCATCAAGCCAATTCAACACACCTTGCACCTTGAATGTTTTCATGGACGGAATACCCTCCATACTTAAAACAGAAAGTTGCATTGTTTTAAGTTGTTTATGAGTATCTTCCTCTTCTCCACATTCCAGTAATTCCCCTTCAGATTCATCTTCTCCTTCAGATTGCTCCACTAGAATCATCTTATAGTTCTTCATCTTACAGATATGACCCTTGCCCCAGTCCTCTCCACATTTGAAACACAGACCTCTCCTACTTCTTTCTTGCAGCTCACTCCTGGATAACCTGGGACCAGATTTACTCATATTAGGTGCCTTTATGTCAGTGTTGCTTCTGTAATCTGAGTTACTCTTTGGTAGGTTAGAGTTACTGTTAGTAATACTTTTCCATCTGCTTCCATCACCCCAAATTGCTTGAGAATTTGAGCCATTGCTCTTACTTAGACCCTTTTTCTTCCCTTCCTCTCTGTTCTTCATCAACATTGCTTCACAATTTTTGTTTTCAATAAGAGAAGCTTGACCCATGAGTTCAGCTAAGGTTCGTGTAGTATACAACTTCAGTTCAGCCCTGATATCTCTTCTCAATCCCTTAAGAAAAACACCTTTCAGAACCTCCTCGGTTAAATGTCCCTGTGAAGCTATGGCCGTTTCAAACTTGTCTCTGTACTCCTTCATAGTTCCTCTCTGCTTTAAACTGAACAAAGGTCCTAACGGATCTTGTACCAGCTCTGGTTGAAAGCGTGTAGTCAAATCCTTCGTAAATGTCTCCCAATTCATATGGCGAGCCTGGCCTTCCCACCATTGGAACCAGCTAAGTGCCTGGTCCTCCATCGCCAGAACTGCTATGTCAATTTTGTCTCGCTCATCAGTCTGATTCAATCTGAAGTAGCGATCCATCCTCATCAACCAACCAAAAGCATCATCTCCGTTGAAAATAGGTAAATCAATTTTCCGTCCAGCTTTATTTGGATTTCGGTGTTGACTATGGCGATCGCGATCCTGATGCAAGCCAGAGTAATCGGAATGTGTTTCAGAACCTTCCGAACTGTCATCATGCTTCGTGTGTTTCTTCTGTGATGATCGACGGGAAGTGTTCGACTGGTGCGAACGACTCCGTGATCTATCTGAGTTCCTGTTCTGCATTTCAGCTAGATTAGCTTGCATCGTTGCCAAAGCGGTCGTGAAATTTGACTGCATCTCTCTCAAATTCCTCTCCATGCTAGCTTGCATCTCCCACTGGCTCCTTTCTATTTCCGTCCTTTCTATTTCCGTCAATCTGCTTTCCATCTTTGCGCGCGTCACGGTCATCCAGCGATCAAACACGCTCTGATACCAATGATAAGAACAGTTCGCAATCCACAATATATAGAACGAACCAGAAACAATCTACAAACTTCATTAATGGCGGTATACGGTACAATAGTCCCAAAGCTAGAGATACGACTCTAACTTTCCAGTCCCAAGCCAAGCATCTAACAGCCTGCCTAACTTCTAACTGGTTTATTCTATTTATAGTCCCAACTCCTTAACTATAAGTAGTTAATAGTTCATAACAACTATCCGCCAGCCAAAAAAAGATAAACTACTTCTTCTTTCTAGAATAGACTAAGCCATATCTATTCTTATTATTTATAATAGTCGGGGTCCTATCAATAAATAAGTATTTTCTCATTACTAAAGGGCAAGGGCATTGCCTTTCCGGTTGTGGAAAAGGCAGGGTATTTTACTATTTCTTGTTATCTCTGGATGTTCTCATCACCGTCCATTCCATTCTTAGTCCCAAAAGAGTTTGTCGATTCAGGTAAGCTGATCCCAAGTTGTTTTGGGACTAAGCCTGGGATATTATCGTGTATGGAACATCTGACACCGGTGGACTGTTCTAAAAAGAAAGCGGGAATTCGAACCGTTGTTGTTACCAGCAAAAAGAGACCACGGAACACTTATTTCTTTCAAAGTAACAAATCAGAAAAGCCTTGATCCAAGTAATGTGATACTTATTTGTCAAAAAATATAAAAACTTGAGTTTCGAATTTTGAGGTAAACTACTATTCCACAACACAACTAAAGCAGATATTCCACTACTATTTTGGTACTAATGTATTATATTCCCATACTCCCGAGCACTACAATACAACAGGAGACATTCCACTCCTATTTAGAGGGTTCTGCTGTACAATCAATTACATTGGTGTCATTAAGGGTCGAATTCTGACTGACAATAATGAGGCAAATAAAAGTAAACCTTATGGATAAAACTAAGCATGTCAACTGCTGCAAAACTTATTTCAGATGTTTAATGTGGACTTCAAATCAAACCTTACCGTGTTAGGTAAAAGGTATTGATCAAGAACATGAATTGCTATGGATACTTAAGTTGAGAGAACACCGTGAATAATGAGGCAAATAAAAGGAAACCTTATGGATAAAATTAAGCATGTCAACTGCTGCAGTACTCATTTTCCTACTTTCCTTTGCGGTTCCTTTTCCCTTACTTACTTCCCCGTTCCTTGTCCTTCCCCATTTCTTTCCCCTCCCACTCTCCTCCCTTCCCCCCGCACCCTTGCCTCTGCCCCCCCCCCCCACGGGGAGGTTTGGCAACACCGTGAATAGACAAGGTAGATGATACAGACAACCTATGAAAAAGTAAAGTTCAGCAAAAAATAGAAAACTGGTCATTAATTTATGTAAGGAAGAATGGTAGAATACCATTCACAGAAAAGCTTTAGTAATTCTCCAGGGCACATCGCTCCTTCATGGCCATCTATCTGCCAGGATTTCCTTTTGCTGAGTATCATAAGACCTGCAAGGGTGTATATGCTTAGTTTTGCCAAAAATAAGGTTTCTTTTTTTTTTTTTTGAAAGAAATAAGGTTTCTTTATACTCACTTATTTATGTATTCATCTGTTCTTCTTTTCTTTCTTTCCTTCCCCCGTTCCTTTTCCCTTCCTTCCTTTTCCAGTTCCTTTTTCCTTTCTTCCTTTTCCCCCAACTCTATTCCTTTCCCATCGCACCCTTGCTACCTGCCATATTGCCTCGGCGACAAGGCACCCGCCTAGACGACAATTAGGCGACTGATATAACTATATATTTATAATTATATACACAATTATATATATAATTATGATATATTTATATAAGATATATAAGATTTTATTGAACTATATTTAATTCGTAATTTATTATATACTATGTATTATATATGATACTCCCTCCGGTTTCAAAACACCTTCACACTTTCTCTTTTGGGTAGGTCCAAAATAAACTTCACACTTCTATTTTTGGCAACTTTTTAAAATAAAGTTACCCTTATACCCTTACTTTATAACCTACTTTACACCAACTTTCTCTCTCCCACTACATTTTATCTACTTTTTGGGGGGCATAATTAGAAAGTCAAAACAAAAAATTCCACTTTCTTAAAAACCGTAAAGTCAAACTATGGGAAGTTCTTTTGGGACCGGAGGCTTGGTTTTAAAAGGCAAGAGGCGCCTTGAGGCGCTAGGCGGTGAGGCGCACGCCTCACGGATCTCAGCCACATTTCCTTGGTTAAATATATTTTTAGTACTTCTACATGAAGCACTCTTCTCAAAAATACTTCAAACTAATGTAATAAACAATTAATAGTCATTTTGTGATAAATTAAATAATTAAGTTATATAAAAACTGTTAATAGTAATTTAAATAATTAATGTAATAAACTGTTACATAAAAAATTGTTAGAAAATGTTAATAATAATATCTATAATCTATCAAAACTTATAAATAGTGAAAGATACTGCTACATATGCATCAGTTATCTAACTTTTTACTTAAATAATTTTAATATTTTTATAAATATAAGAACTTAAAATAAAAAAGAATTTAAAATACGTACGCAGAAGATAAAAGAGAATTTAAAATACTTTAGCAGAAAATAAAAGAGAATTTAAAATACTTAGGCAGAAGATAAAATAGCAGAAGAAAAAAAAAGACCTACCTCTAAGACGCGAGAGCACCGCAAGATAAGTCAAAACTCGGAAGGGCTCAGAGCTACGCAAGATAATTCCATGGGGAGTCAAAGGCGCTCGCCTCTCAGTAGCGCAAAAGGCGCTAATAAGCGTAAAAAGCGCTCGCCTCTCAGACCCTGCACCGCCTAGGTAAGTAAAAAGCGATGAACCTTTCGCCTACAAGCGCCACACGCCTTTGCGCGCTTTTTTAAACTAAGACCGGAGGGAGTATATTACTAATTAAATTGTATATTACTGATGCTATATTGCATAATGATTGTATAATAAGTATGAATGTACTTTACAAAAAGTTAAACTACATAAAGTCTAATAGTTTATTAATTTCTACAAGTAACATACAATAATTGCTCTCAGCCTCTAACTTTATGTGTATGTACTAGTATGTATATACTCTGCACATATACAAATATATCAGCTAGACAATAATAGATGGGGACCTGGTAACGTATTGTTCGTCTACACAAGGGAGTGCAACTTTAGGAGTTCTACGCTTTTGTCTTCTTCGTACGAGTCTGGGTCTCTAGACTCTGGACGCTCTTCTAAAATTTCTATACTTTGTTTCTAAATAAAACCCTAAAGCCTTAAATCGGCGATTGCGGTTAGACCGGCCAAAACAGCGCCTTATCGCCAAAGTGCGCCTGGACGACGACCGGACGACGCTGTGAAAGTATATTAGAATATACTTTAGAATATGCTATAGAATATATTAGGAATATACCATAGATATTATTATTGTATAGAATCTTATATAGGAATATTCTATTTGTAATGTATATTTATAGACTTCCACAACTAATGAAATACACAGAAAATCTTTCCTCCACTTTTCAATATTATTCTAGTTTATATTTCAACATGGTATCAGAGACTTCTATTTCAGTTTAGTTTTTCTTTTCAGTTTACCAGTCTTCAAGAACCTCGTATTCTTCCCGGAACCTTTTCTCAGAACCTACTGCTCATCCCATAACCTTTTCCCAGAACCAGAACCTCAGATATAAGAAACAATTGGGTACCCGCCAACCCTTTTCGCAGAACCAGAACCTCAGAACCTCCCTCATACTCTGGTTCGCCTGCCCCCGTCGACCGAACACCCGAAGTCCGCACGCCCAAATCATCGCGCGTGAGTTACACGCGCCGTCGGAAGCTTCCGCAGCCAACGCACGCTCCGGCGCATGACACCGTGTTTCTGGCCGGAGGTTTGATCGGAACTCTTCGCTTGAGACTCGCTTGAAAATCGTCTACCGGGTATACTTTACTTCTCCCATTCTTTCTTCACCAAGGGACGGGTATCTGTGGTTGCCTGGTTGGTTGCTAGGGTCTGTCATCGGACTTCTGCTGCTTCCTCTGGTTGTTTGCATCTGCTGGGGTATCGCATGGGATATTTCTGAACGACCGCAGGCTTCTTCATTGATTCTTCGCATATCTGCTGGGGTAGTCCGTCAGTTTTGTTATGTTTGGAGTCCGTAGCAGTCAGGCCAAGCCAATTAGACACAGAATATTTTATTCACCAGCTTTTGAGTCCACAAAACAAGCTGCAGTGAGTTTATATTGAATAAATCTCCTTTTGTTTTTCTTTTTTTTTTAAAAAAAGGGGGGGGGTTATGTTTTGCACAGGTAAATTTGATAGAGGAGTAATATGCAATTACTGCAAGAAGCCCGAACACTTGATCAAAGAATGTAGAAAATTGCTATTCAAAAATCAAGGAAATCAGCTTGTTCATGTTGCTTCCGCTACCAATTCCTTCGATGGAACAATTGTTATTTCTTCAGACGAGTATGCCAAATTTATTTGCTACCAAGAATCACTAAAGCATTCATCTGTCCCTACTTCGGTAGCTGCTAATTCAGGTATTTCAAACACATGTCTTGTTTCCTCATCCTCGAAATGGGTCATTGACTCAGGTGCCACAGATCATATGACTGGTAATCCTAGGCTATTCTCATCATTTCATTCATATTTACCTACTTCTAGTGTCACTTCTACATTACCATTATCACCTGTTTTGAATCTTTTGGATACGTCAATCACCTGTTTTGTGGCATGCCGATGGATCTACCTCACCTGTTCTTGGATCCGGTACTGTTGTCCCAACTTCTACATTACCATTGTCACCTGTTTTGAGTCTTCCTAATTTTGCATTTAATCTGCTTTCCATCAGTAAAATCACACGTACTCTTAATTGTTCTGTAACATTTTTCCTGGATATTGTGTGTTTCAGGATCTGTTGACAAAGCAGACTATTGATAAAGGACATGAGTCAGCTGGTCTTTATATTTTGGATACGTCAATCACAAAAGGTATCTCTTGTCTTGGGGTTGGAAATCTATTAGAAGCTCATTACCGTTTAGGACATCCATCTCTCCCACTAATGAAGCAAATATATCCTCAGTTTAATAAGGTGTCATCTATACAATGTGAGTCGTGTGAATTTGCAAAACATCATCATACTAGTTTAAGTCCTCGACTTAATAAACGAGCAAACGCTCCGTTTGATCTTGTTCATACTGATGTTTGGGGGCATGTCCTGTTGTGTCCAAATCTGGTTTCAAATATTTTGTTACATTTGTTGATGATTATTCTCGTATGACTTGGTTATACTTTATGAAACACCGATCAGAGTTATTTACTCATTTTTCTGCATTTTGTGCTGAAATTAAAACTCAATTTAATGTTCCTGTTCGTGTGTTGAGGGGAGACAATGCCCAAGAATATCTCTCTGCTCCATTTAAATCTTTTATGCTTCAAAATGGCATTATTCATCAAACTTCATGCGTAGACACACCTCCTCAAAATGGAGTCGCTGAAAGAAAAAATCGACATCTGTTAGAAACTGCAAAGGCTCTTCTATTCCAAATGAATGTGCCTAAACAGTTTTGGGCGGATGCCGTGTCTACCGCATGTTTTTTGATAAACCGTATGCCGTCTTTTGTTTTAAACGGTAAAGTTCCTTATCACTGCTTATTTCCAAATAAAGAACTTTTTCCTATCCCACCTAAAATATTTGGTTGCACTTGCTTTGTTAGAGACGTTAATCCTCATCTTACAAAGTTAGACCCCAAATCATTAAAATGTATTTTCTTGGGTTACTCTCGAGTTCAGAAGGGGTATAGATGTTTTTGTCCAAGTACAGGTCGATATCTTGTTTCCATTGATGCATCATTTCATGAAAATACACCTTTTTCATCATCCAAGACAGATATTCATGGGGACAATGATGAAATACTCATTTACTCTGTCACTATATCGGAATCTACACCTTCTGTAGTTATTCCACATGTTAATGTTCCTGACCCCAGACCTCCAGTACACTTGGTTTACACCCGTCGAAACAAAGCACCAGATCACCCTCCACCAGTGACACCTATGATTACTTATCCTGATATTGGTTCATCCTTGATCTCATGTCCTGAACCGGTACATGCATCTTCAGATCTTGTCTCTACATCAGATCTTGACCTTCCGATCGCACTACGTAAAGGTACACGGTCTTGTACTCATCCTATTTCTTCATTTGTGTCGTATAGTCAGTTATCCCCTGCCTCATGTTCTTTTATTGCTTCCATCGATTCTATTTTTGTTCCCAAATCTGTTAAAGAAGCTTTGTCTCATCCTGAATGGCGTCATGCCATGGTAGAGGAAATGAATGCTTTAGATCTTAATGGTACATGGGATTTGGTTGACTTGCCTACAGGGAAGAAATCTATAGGATGCAAGTGGGTCTTTGCTGTTAAGGTTAACCTAGACGGATCTGTTGCTCGGTTGAAAGCTCGATTAGTTGCGAAGGGTTATTCTGACCCTTTTTCTCCTGTTGCTAAATTAACATCTGTCAGGTTACTTATTTCTCTCGCTGCAACTCATGATGGGCACTTACATCAATTGAACATTAAAAATGCATTCTTGCATGGTGACCTTCAGGAAGAAGTTTATATTGAGCAACCTCCGGGATTTGTTGCTCAGGGGGAGTATGGGAAAGTTTGTCGACTTCGCAAATCTCTTTATGGTTTGAAACAAAGTCCCCGTGCATGGTTTGGAAAATTCAGTCAATCAATTGAACGATTTGGCATGATAAAAGGTCAATCAGACCACTCTGTCTTTTATAGACGAACGAAAGCAGGTATCACATTGCTTGTGGTGTATGTTGATGATATTGTGATTACTTCACTGCAAGTATTTTGGATCTTAAGAATTTTCTTCATAGCCAATTCCAAATGAAAGATCTAGGCTCATTGAAATACTTCTTGGGTATTGAGGTAACACGAAGCAAGAAAGGCATATTTCTATCTCAACGCAAATATGTACTTGACTTGCTAGCTGAAACAGGGAAATTAGGGGCAAAGCCGAGCAATACTCCTATGATTCCTAATGTACAACTTACTCACGAAGGTGTGCCATTCGAAGATCCAGAGAGATATAGAAGATTGGTTGGGAAACTTAATTATCTCGCAGTTACCCGTCCAGATATTGCATACTCAGTGAGTGTAGTGAGTCAGTATATGTCATCTCCCACAGTTGATCACTGGAATGTTGTAGAACATATATTATGTTACTTGAAGGGGAAACTTAATTATCTCGCAGTTACCCGTCCAGATATTGCATACTCAGTGAGTGTAGTGAGTCAGTATATGTCATCTCCCACAGTTGATCACTGGAATGTTGTAGAACATATATTATGTTACTTGACGAGGTATTGTTTATCAAAATCATGATCACATGAGAATAGAATGCTTTGCAGATGCTGATTGGGCTGGATCTAAAGATGATAGAAGATCTACATCTGGCTATTGCGTCTTTGTTGGTGGTAATCTTATCACCTAGAAAAGTAAGAAGCAGAATGTGGTTTCTCGATCTAGTGCCGAATCAGAATATCGTGCTATGGCACAATCGGCATGTGAGATAATCTGGATAAACCATTTATTGGGTGAAATTGGATTGAAGACACCAATCAGACCTGCAAGGTGTATATACTTAGAAGAAGGGCATGTCCTCCTACCCCCCACCCAGGGAATGCCCTCCACCATCCACTGGTGGCCCCACTTTCACCGCCAAAATTGGACCAGTTCTTGCAAGCACATCTCTTACTTGATCCAAAAGATGAATCAATACCCAAGACATGATCTCAATCAATAGCCAATACTAAAAACAATACAAGCGTAACCTCACAATGATGGCAATGTTTATGCTTAGTGCTTACCTTTTTCTCGTGTCTAAACCACACTGATAAGAGAATGCTTCGGGAGGTAGAATCCTAAACAGCGTGTCATTCATGACATATCATCCAATCAGACCTGCAAGGTGTATATACTTAGTTTTGCCAAATATAATTTTTATTTATACTATAATAACAGAAAATACCTAAAATCTTTTGGGAATAAGGCTTGGATGTATCATTTCATAATAAAATATAACATTATAATACAATATTGTAACAAATGTACTTAATAATAACATATAATATTTACCTAATAATATAATTACTTAATAATCTTTCTTCCTTTTCCCCCCTTCGTCTTCCCTAGTCTACTCATTTTTCCTTTCTTCCCCTTTCCCATACTCCCTTTCCTCCCTTCTTCTTCCCCTTTCTGCTCCTTTTTTCTTGCTTCGCCCTTTTCTCATACTCTGTTCCCCCCGAGGTAGTCAAAGACATGAGGCGCTTTCAACGCGCTAGAGTACTTTTGAGGCGCAAGGCGCAAAAAAAGCACTTGCTTGACTCATGTCAAGCGCACTATTTAGAAAATATCATGTTTCTCAATAACAAAGTCACAATCCACAGAAAAAAGTCATGGTTGATGGTTCACATAAACAAAACACCGAGCAGGGCCTGTTTTAGCTGATTTTGCAGTATGAGGACTACGGGTAGCATAAATTGTAGTGTGTGAAACTATTAACCGAGTTAGATTATATGAAATTTTATACAATTAAAATATGAAATGATGATAAGAAGATATAAAGTTATAGACTGTATAATAAGATGAAGCAAAGAGAACCATAAAGTGTTTAAAGAGAACTATAAAGTACGCATAGATGACTGCAAGTGGTAAAAGTAAAGAGAGAAGATAGACTGAAAGAATAAAAAGAAAGGATCAACAAGAAGATGGCAAAATAAATGAAAACTACAATCTGAAAAAGAAAGAAGAAAGAACACGGGAAGATGATGAGGAAGAAGAAACCTTAAGGGTTGCTAGCTTCAATGGGTTGATCGTTGATTCGTTGGATCCGGTTGCAGCGCTGAACAGGTTGTGCGAGTAGAGCATAGGAGAGTAATGATGAAGACGCGCGATAGAAGGCTTTTACCGTGACTTAGAAGGGTTTAACATGGGTTTAAGTTGTTTTGACCTATTATTTGAATGACGCTAAACATGGGTAGCACCTTATAATTCCTCATGCGCAAGAAGAGCTGAGGCGCACGCTTGTCATGCCTGTGCTGGGAAATGCTTCTCAACTTATTTTTGAATGGCGCACGTTTCTTCTTTCTGTCTTCATCCTCCTTTTTAATTCAATTTTTCATTCTTTCTTATTTTCTATATTTTTGGGTATTGTCTGTTTGTTCTTGCTCCAATTCTATCTTTTCATTAAAAAAAATGATACCTTTATCTCTTATTTTCTTCTTCTGCTTTATATCTTATCCTAACAAGTTCTCTATGAGTGTAGCTCGGTGTTTTGTTTATGTGAACCATCAACCATGACTTTTTTCTGTGGATTGTGACTTTGATATTGAGAAACATGACTTTTTAATGCATTTAGTTCGATATGATGTTGAATATGTCATATTTGATCACTCTAGAATAGTATACATAATATTTTAGTCCTAACAAGTTCTTTTCTTTTATTTTTAGTCTGAAAAGCTTCATTATGAAAAGGAGATCTGGGCATTAGTTCTTTTCTTTTATTTTCTTCTTCTGCTTTATATCTTCTCCTAAAATTGATACCTTTTCTCTTATTTTCTTTTTCATGAGTGTCCCGAGTGTAGCTCCAACATTTCGTATTCAGGCCAGCCTACCAGCTGCAACACTCGGGACAGCCTATCAGGCCCTCCAGCATTTACAAGCAATTGTATAGGCTTACTCTCTACAAACATCAATGAAAACGAAATGTATTAAAACTCAAAATAGCCATGACCAATTGTATGATTTTTGCATTTTGGATCTAATGCCCAGATCTCCTTTTCATAATGAAGCTTATTATATTCATTAAGCTAGATCATGTCCTAAACATTGACCATTGTCCCAGGCAGCTGATATGTGGGAATTATTAGAAGGTATGGGTTAGAAACATGCTAAAAGGAGCGATTGCACTTTGTATTACATTTGGATGTTATAACTGCAGCATATTTTGGTTGAAGGGGTGTGTTTCACGTTCTGGAGTTGTAGTGGGTCCTATTTAACCGTTTGGCCTATTTTAAATGTCAAAACTTAAAAGACATAAACTTCTATCTAGTAAAAGTTAAATTTATGAATGGTAAATGCGGAATAGCATATCAAACCTGAGATCCATCTGTTAGTCAATATTTGTATGGCTGTTACTAGATCCCTCACATACACAGGACAGCGGAACTCATCATGGAAAAATTCTGTCTGATCTCCCTTGGCAAGGACACTATCCATCCACTGCATAGTTTTTATGCTATTTCTGAGTCATCATCAGGTATTAACTTAAAAAGCCTAGTAGTCAGGCATTTTGATTAATCCTATAGGAAATAGTAGTGCAATGGAGTAAAGGCCTATTTGGTATTTGGCTGAATCAGTTCAATCTGCTCAAAAGAGTGGTGATATCCATTGCAGACAAATAGATAAACAAAAAAGCTACTATTCTGTGTACAATAAGCAGAACAAGTCAGATAGAGCTACCAAACAGAGACTAAGCAACCAGATGGATCCACCAAACAGAGCCTAAGTAGTAGGAGAAAACAACGGTACAGATACGAGTACATTATAAAGGTGTGAATGGAAAATGAAAGCTACTATACTTGAATTGGAAGTGACTTTGCAAGAGGAGAGATAGGCTGAGGTCCGAAAATGATGCTGCTCCTTAAAATTGCAAAGTTCGGGCAATTTGAAGACACAAATTGCTCTGCTGCCACTTTTGTTTTCCCATAAACGTTCACAGGTATTATCTCATCTTCTTCCTTGTAAAAAGATTTAGTTCCTTCATAAACTGATAAAAAAACTAGAATAAATTTCAGGCAGGAAACAAAAGAATTGAAAACGAATCTATAAATAAAGAGATGGCTTTGAATATAGTGATTGCTTATTGTCTTACCCTGATCTGTAGATAAATGAATCATAAAGGTACTGTTTTTATCAAAACTTGACAGCCATTTAACAAGGTGATAGGGCACATTGATAGCCATGGCAGCTTCAGGATCAGCTTCACAGGCCCGAGGGACAGAAAGTGCAGCACAATTAATCACAACATCCGGCTGTCACACTTCAAATTAGCCTTATTGTTATGTTATAAATACAAATAAATACGGAGTATCTATCTAGCAAAATCTCAAAATCCATCTTCTAAACGAAAAAATCTTATGAACTTAAAAAAGATCAGATAAAACATTGGGAAAAAGTAATAAGTGTTGAACCTGGCCTAGGGTTCCTGAGATGGAATCAAAGCCAACTCCGTGGCGCAAATAGACAGGAAAATGGAGCGCTTCTGGAAAGGCATCGAGAAGTGGGCTGGGAGGTGGATCGGAGTGGTAGGTGAAGGCTAGGGAGAGAGGACAGGGAAGAGAATGCACAATTTGAGTGAAGCCTTGGAGCAAATGCTGCCCCAGGTAGCCCGTGCCTCCAACGACCAACACCTTCTTCTGCGCATCCATCCTCTTCCAAGTTCCTCTCTTTTTTTCCGAATCTTCCGGACGGACTGTACTACAGATGTTTTGTTCGAAATTTCCTGATTTTGCCATTTGTTAATATCTCACTTTATATTTCGTGTCGAGACACGTTTTCAAAAATCAGGGGTACAATAGGGATTTCAAAGTACAATAAACTGATCTTTCTACCAAAGTTATTCGGGAGGAACCGCTATACGGCTATAGGTATATTTCATTATTTCCCGGATTTATTCCTTCCCCGGAGTCGTGACCTCAAAAGGTTCCAGCTTTCAACCAGCATCCATATGTCAGGAGAATTTTTGCATACATTTCAATGAAATTTCCCGGGTGCTTCTTCTTATCTTTCTTGTTGTGATGGAATCTATTCTTTCTACCCATAGATCTTATCAAATAATTTTGGGAATGGAAAGAATTGGATGTAATCTTAAAAAACTACCAAACTTTGTCTCAGCTTATAAAAAAACTCAGTCTATGTGTTACCAATACTTGCACATTCCCTCTCTATAATCCCAAGAGAAGCAGTTTCTTTGTGTGTATTATTTATTTCAATTATGCAATGCATATTACAAGTATACTTATATCTATGGTAATGTCATCTCTAGGGTTCATTTCAATTTCTCTGCTTCTATTCTTGAAATAAATTCTGGGTACGTCTTGATCAAATGGATTTATATATAGACTCGTTTTTCTGAAGATCTGATCTTGGAAAGCGGAATAGTTAGTTCTTCCATTATTGAAGCTTATTTTTTGTCAACCAAAAATCATTTTTTTTTGTTTAAGCTTATTTGTGCAAGCCTATCCAGTGATGGGCCTGTTTTAAATTAAGCTTATCAGGCTATTACTATTTTCTTTGTAATAATAATTTGGTTCATTAAAGTATAAGAAGGGGTTAAATTCAGGAGTTGTGTTTAAGCTGGATTTTTTCGTTCTACCACAATTGATTTATGTGAATTTCATATTGGTACAAACTTGTGGGTGTCAGTTTTAATGGAGGTGGTTTTGTCTAAAGTAGGATATAAGTAATGATAAAAAACAGTGTAGAATAAGGAGAATGGTTGTTCAACAAGGAGAATGGACGTTCAACAAAACTTGCTCATTTTAGTGTTCCAGCTCTTTGAAAATTTGATTGCAGCTTGACTATATGGATTTGTGCTTAAGAGTATGCGCTAAAGTTGATATATTAGGACTTTCTCCAAAACAACCTTTCAGGGTTTGATTGGATGGTGGATTTTTTTAGGAATTTGGAGTGGAAGACTATGTAGGGCTTATGTTGTAATTTGATTATCCTATACAAATTTGAACTTTAATAAAGTTTGAAGGATTAGCATAGTGTGAAATCATATAACATTTCAATCACTTTAATTAGTTTGTCGAAGCATTTTAATTACCAAGTCATCCTCTCCAAACCCTTCCATCCAAACACATCCTTAGTGTGTATAGTTCGTATATTGGACACTGCTGAATGTCTGTTGTCTTCAATTGCAGGCACTAGCGTTGGGTTTTCTTGAGTGAAAATGTATTTATGTGGATTACGTAGCAAGGCAGGAAGCCTGTAGGAATTTGATTTGATGGTAAATGGAAAAGAAACAGCATATTGCAATATTCACTACTGCAAGCATTCCATGGTTAACTGGAACTGCAGTCAACCCTTTATTTCGTGCTGCCTATCTTGCGCAAGATGGAGAGAGGAATGTCACTTTGGTAGTTCCTTGGGTGCCTGTAAAAGACCAGCAACACTTGTTCCCCAATAATATCACCTTTAATACACCTTCTGAGCAAGAACAATATGTTCTTCGATGGGTTGAAGAGAGGACTGGGCTCAAATCAAATCTTTGTGTCCGTTTTTATCCAGGAAAGGTATTGTGGGTGAAGAGTTTTAATAAGACTTAGGGAGTGTTTTATATTGCTTTAAAAAGTGTTTTTCAGCTTTTAGCTTTTAAAAAGTTAAAATTAGTGTTTCCAAACAAGTGCTCCGGCGTAAGTTAAGCCGGAAGCAGGTAGGAAGGTGTTTTAAACTGCATTTCACTTTTTCTATTACATAAAAGTACTTTTTATAAAGGGAAAATTCCCGAAATAGGAGTAAAAAAGTTTGAAAATTCCAAAATAGGACTGCCATGTTTTTATTCCCAAAATAGGAGTAATTACTGCCAAGTTTGGAAAATACTGTCATGTTTAAAGTCTGGTACTACCAAAACATGGCAGTAATTAGTCCTATTTTAGGAATAAAAACATGAAAGTCCTATTTTTGGAATATACAAACGTTTTTAGTCCTATTTTGGGTAATTTACTCTTTTACTAAACATTCTAACTTTTTACTTTTTCAAAATTACTTATTCTCACACTTTGTCAATTTTTATAATGTTAATCACTTTTCGTATAATCCCTAAAGTTAATCATTTTCAAAAGTGCAAACACAAACACTCCTTTAGTCTATATCTTGATAAGTAGAATGTCTCTAGAAACCAATAAAGGGCTATTGGATCACTTAAAATGCTTGGGGAAGGAAAACTAGTGCTTAAAAATTGATGTGATTGATGTTTTTCCATGTATACATATTTTTAATTTTTTAAGTGTTTAACTCTTTATATAACAGAAAGAAATAAAGATATGTGTTTGAATGTATGTCTAAAGCGAACAAATTCATTTGGACTTGATTTATTTTCCTCCCAAATATTGTTTCCTTCAAATTTTCCTCTTTATTACATTTTCTTAGAATTCTTGTTTTAATAACCAATAGAACTTCTATGAAAAGAGGGTCAATTTGTGTAACAAATTCACGCTAACAATTCTGCTAACTTGAATGGATATCTAAAACTGACATTGTTGTTTTTCAGTTCTCCCTAGAGAAAAGGAGCATTCTTGCCTTGGGGGATATAACGATTGTAATCCCAGATGAGGAAGCTGATATTGCCGTGCTAGAGGAGCCGGAGCATCTCACTTGGTACCATCATGGAAGGAGATGGAAATCAAAATTTGGGCTGGTAGTGGGAATTGTTCACACCAATTATCCAGAATATGTTAAGAGAGAGCGGAACGGGTTGGAAGCTTTGATCGTGAAATACATAAATACTTGGGTTGTTAACATATATTGTCACCGGGTAAGCTTCGTGTGTATTTTTTCCCCATTTAATTTGCTGCCTATCTATAGAGAAGGCGTTCACAAAGATTAAGGGTCCGTTCGGAAATGGAAAATGTCAGGAAAGAAAATAGTGAGGAAAATAAAGGGGAAATTTTGAAGGAAAGGAAAAAAATAGAAAAATGGAGAGGAAATTTTGATGAAAAGAAAATTTAGGATAAAATAAATTGTCAATCAAACTCAACAAATCAATTTGTAGATATTTGCTCGAAGTCACCCCCCTGCCTCATAATTCTATTACTGTTTCAAAGTTTTCTTCCCATTTCTTTTTAGGGTAAGTTTGGAACACGGGGAATGGCTGTGAAAGTGACAAGAAATATAAGGGAAATGATTTTCTATAATGTTTGGTTTTAATTTAGAAAATGTGAAAGAAAGCCAAACCTGAATCTTTTATTTTTTAAATTTCACACAAACACACACAAACTTATACATAAAATGCCTAAAGCCTAAAGTTTTGTTGTTGATAATGAACCTTTCTTCCCTTGATTTCGAACCAACTTTATCCACTCCATATATTTTCCCGAGCGAAATGCCCCCTCCATTTTTCTCATATTCTTTTCCTTTCCTTCCCGAAGTTGCAATATGGACCTTAAACAGAGAACTGGGTGATTGGTATTGTTTGCTTTCTTTATAAACATCATGAACCATACAATTTCATTATTTTGGTGTCAAGTCAAAGCGGGGAGGAATTATGAGGCGAAGGAAGTGTTGTATACCTATATTGTACGTAGACTAACAAATATACATATTTTTAACAATAAAAAAGGTTAAATCCAATTGCATTCTCCTTTGTATTTTTCAATTTGAAATTAAATATCAATAATAAAAGTAAAAGCCTTAGAAATTTTTGCCTTACTGATAGTGAGTGGGAAGAGCATGGGGCGGGAACGGACTTGGGCCCACGGTTATGGCCTGTCGTTATAAATTTATTTATTATTATTAAATTAATGTTATGTTTTAGTTTTGGCTTATTATTAGTAGATTACTTAGTAGAGTTAGTATGGGCTTGATTAAGATTTTATTAATTTGGGCTTGATTAGGGAAGGCTATTTATACCCGTTGCCAGGGTTCATTCTATCTTATCTTGGAATAGAATTGGTTTTAGCCTTTTGGCTCTGGGCAACGGTATTTTTATCGTTGATTATCTGGGCAACGGTTTATCCCGTTGATTTTATTTTTCTGTCACACAACAATTGGTCCGACCTGCCGGATCCCGTCCCGCCGGAATGACGAGATCAACCAACGAACGTTTATCAGAATTGGAGGCCGAACAGGCCCCGATCAATAAAAAACTTGACAGGCAAGGACAAAAACTTGGCGTGCAAGGACAGAAACTTGATGCACAAGGTCAGAAATTGGAAGAACAGGGCACCCAGCTTGCGGAAATCGCGGCTTCCCTGGGACAGCGAAGGCCATGATGCCGCCGGAGAAGACTCCAACCGCGACTGTCGAGAGCGACTCCTCCGCACATGTCGTGACTGCATCCTCTGTTGACGGCGGACTGCGCAGTGCAGCAACCGCCCTGCTCCCCTCGTTCGACGGCGAAGACCCAATTGGGTGGTTGGCAAGAGTTGAGCAGCAGTTCGAACTCAGCAGAATCCCACCGGCCAGAAAAGTGGCAGTGGCTAGGGTTTCTATGGAGGGGGCTGCCCTTTATTGGGTGACTTGGTTGAAGGTGTGCAAACCCGGCATGTCCTGGGAGGAATTTAAGCAAGCCCTGGTGACCAGATTTGATTCCCGGTACCAGGGAAACAGGTTTGAACGGCTGTCAGGCGTCAAACAAATTGAGTCAGTGGAGGAATACAATACCTTGTTTGTTTAACTGGTTAGCCAAGTTTCGGGATTGACCGATGATCATTATTTGGGCTACTACATGAGTGGACTTAAGGAAGAAATACGAAGTTCGTTGCGCTTATTATGGCCGGATAACCTGGAGATGGCCATGGAATTAGCTCACGATGTGGAGCATAATTTGTCCGTCCAAAGTGGAGGACGTGGCAACCTGAATTACAATTCTTCAGGGGTACGTTTCAGCAGTGTTTTAATGGCAAACACGGGTCCTCCGTTGACTGCCAGTGGTGGCAGCTTACAGGGATCAAGGGGCAGCTTTGCGAAAGATAGCGGACAGCCTCCGGGGACAAAGTCAGGATTGCCCGGGCAGCCTACGATATGCTCTCAGTTCACTCGTCTTCCGCCAAAGGAGTTCTCAGAATTGAGGGCGAAAGGATTATGCTTTAGGTGTGTGAACAAGTATTATTATATTTCATATACTTGATATTAAAATGATATACAAGAAGTTATATTTATAGCTGTATTTAGAGTACTAGGGTTTCCTATACAAGATATACAAATGGGCTAAGCCCAATACTACTAGGGTTTCCACACTCCCCCTCAAGCTGGAGCATATAAATCATATGTACCAAGTTTGTTACAAATATACCCCACTCTAAGACTTCTAAGAGACTTAGTTAAAATATCTGCAAGTTGTTCAGTTGTGTTGACATATTTTGTGATGATATGTCCACTCACGGTCTTCTCTCGGATAAAATGACAATCAACTTCAATATGTTTTGTCCTCTCATGATATACCGGATTTGATGCGATGTGCATTGCAGCTTGATTATCACACATGAGTTGAACCGGTTTTGTGTTTCCATATTTTAACTTTTGGAGGAGATGCTTCAACCATAAGATTTCACATGTAGCAAGGGCCATTGCACGATATTCTGCTTCAGCACTAGATCTGGCAACCACATCTTGTTTCTTACTTTTCCATGAAATTAAGTTTCCACCAATCAAGATACAATATCCCGAAGTGGAACGTCTATCCATCGGACATCCGGCCCAGTCTGCATCACAATATCCCACAATATCACAGTGGCCTCGATCTTCAAACAACAATCCTTGCCCCGGAGTTTTCTTGATGTATCTCAAAACTGACTGAGAACACTTACCGCAAATGAAATATCTGGTCTCGTGATGGTAAGATAATTCAATTTGTTGATGAGTCTTCTATATTTTTCCTTGTTGGGCAAAAGATCTCCCTATTCTGATAAGAGTTTAACGTTCGGATCCATTGGTGTATCCACTGGCCTGCAATCTAGCAAACCTGTTTCCTCAAGAATATCCAAGGCATACTTTCTTTGTGAGAGAGCAATTCCATTTTGAGATTGTGCGACCTCAATGCCAAGGAAGTATCTCAACTTTCCCAAGTCTTTTGTTTGAAATTTGCTAAAGAGATGTTGCTATAGGAGCGCAATTCATTGATCATCGTTACCTGTTATGACAATGTCATCAACATACACAACAAGATAAATACATTTGTTGTCAGCACAATGTCGATAGAATATAGAATGATCGACATCACTATGAATCATGCCAAAGCTGCAGACAACTGCACTAAACCTCTCAAACCATGCACGTGCAGATTGCTTCAAGCCATATAATGAACGACGTAATCTACACACCATACCAGACTCCCCCGAGCAACAAATCCAGGTGGTTGCTCCATATGAACCTCCTCGTGCAGATCTCCGTGAAGGAATGCATTTTTAATATCCAATTGGAACAATGGTCAGTGGTTCATTGCTGCCATGGATAAAACCAAACGAACTGATGCAATCTTCGCTACAGGAGAAAAAGTGTCAATGTAATCCAAACCATATATGTGAGTATACCCTTTCACCATCAGGGCCAACTTTAACCGTGTAAATCCACCGACACCCAACCACTGATTTGCCAATTGGAAGTGGGACTAGGTCCCATGTGCCACTAGAATGAAGTGCCTCCATCTCAGCTAACATGGCTTTACGCCACTCCGGGTTGTGCAGGGCCTCACGTGTGGTTTTAGGAATGCATACATGAGACAAGTGTGAAATGAAAGCATAGTAAGGTGTAGAGAGGCGGTGATAACTCAAAAAGTTATATATGGGATGTGGGTTCAAAGTAGAACGCGTACCTTTTCGGAGGGCAATGGGCAAATTATCCGGAGTATTTTCGGGTGTTGGGGTAGCTGATGGCGAAGATACGGAATCCATCGTAGGGGAATCAATCGGTGTGGCCACAGTAGGCACAATGAGAGGAGGTCGAGGTCATCAATGGTATACTTGTAATGGGCGGTCTACCATAGGAGAGCAATTTGGGTGCCCATCAGATGGGGTGAATGGGAGTCTCCAGATAGATGGGTCGAAGATATGAGGTGAGGTCCAAACATGATGGGGTATCAACTGAAGATAATGGATAATAAAAGGACGACTCAATGAAAGTGACATCGGCTGAAATAAAATGTTTCTTAAGTAATGGAGAATAACAATGATAACCTTTTTGGAGATGCGAATATCCAAGAAAGATACACTTTATTGACCTAGCCGACATTTTGGCTAATCCAGGGGTCGTATCATGGACAAAACACACACACCCAAACACATGAGGTGGTAATGGAAATAAATCACGGTCGGGAAACAAAATAGAATAGGGAATTTCATTATTAAGAACTGAGGAAGGCATTCTATTTATTAAGTGACACGCAGTGAGCACAGCGTCTGCCCAATACTGAGGTGGTGTATGGGAATGTAATAATAGAGTACGAGCAGTATCAACCAAGTGTCGGTTCTTGCGTTCAGCAACCCCATTTTGTTGAGGCGTGTGAACACAAGAAGATTGGTGAAGCATACCTCGTGATGTCATGAATTGATTAAAGGATGCCCCAAAAAATTCTTTAGCATTGTCACTGCGTAAAATTTTGATAGAATGACCAAACTGAGTTTGAACTTCGGCACAAAATGTTTGGAAAATATGAAACAATTCAAAACGCTCTTTCATTAAAAACAACCATGTGTAACGGGAATAATCATCCACAAAAATAACAAAATAACAGAAACCTAAAGTAGAAGTGAATCGATACGGACCCCATACATCTGTATGAACTAAATCAAACGGTGATGTAGCCCGTTTATTGACTCGTCTGGGAAAGGATTTACGAGGTTGTTTTCCAAGGTGACATGACTCACAGTCTAAAGATGAAAGATTTGAGAAACCTGGAACCATACGTTGAAACTTTGAGAGACTAGGATGACCCAGACGGTTATGTAAGGTAATAGCAGGTTCAACTGAAACACAAACAGTTGGATCAAAAGGATGGAGATGATACAGACCTTGAGATTCATGGCCGACGCCAATCGTTTTCCCCGTACAACGGTCCTGCACAATCACAGAATCAGCAGAAAATGTTACGGAACAATTAAGAGCACGTGTAATTTTACTGACAGAGACAAGGTTAAAAGGGGTGTTTGGGACATATAAGACTGAGTGTAATGGTAAGGATGAAAGTGGAAGTGCTTGCCCAATACCCGAAGCCGAAGTTTGAAAGCCATTAGCAAGAGTAATCAAAGGAAGATGTCGGTGCTTGGTGATATGGGATAAAAGATGGGGATTACCAGAAATATGGTCTGAGGCACCCAAGTCAATGATCCATGAGCCTGTTGTGTTTGAAACACAAGCGGTAGACATCCCGTGTGTGGATAAATGCATATTAGCCAACTTAAAATGCTGAAATGCTGCATATTTTGCCGGTGATAGAACAATGGGAGATGATGGTAGCTGAGCAACATGGGCTGAGGGAGGTCTCCCATGTAATTGCCAACACCTGTCTTTAGTATGACCAATTTTATGAAAAAAATCACATCGAGAACGATTCCATCTTGAGCATCCGGTATTGTTTCCTCTGTCAGAACTCATAAAATACATTTTTTTACTGTTTTTTTTCTTTATTTTTTTTAATTTTTTTTTTTTTTTAAATTGCGAAGAGAAAAGTAAATACAAAAACTACTGCTGCAAGAAAAGTAAATATGAGTAATTTAAAAAACAACAACAAAGTAGCCAACCAGAGAGAATAAGCAGCGGTAACAGACTTAAGAATTCCCCAGGCGTAAGAAACCCCAGACAGGTTGCAGGCAGGTTGAAGAACTGTAGCTACAAAGGCATGAAGAGAACAGACCTCTACCTTTCTGGGGAGGTGCGGATGACCGCTGGTTGATGGTGGTCGGCGCAGGACGACGGTGTCCGGCGGATGTCGGTGGTGATTGGCGGTGGCGCGTTTGACGGCGGCGGCGCGTGACTCGGTCGACGGCGGCGTAACTTATGTCGTTCTGGTCTCCGGAAACTCATAAACTTCTGGTGGTTGGAGGTGTCAACGCCAGATAAGGAGAAAGATCTGCAAAAAATGTAAAACTGCAGGAGCGGACATCAGCGACGCGTGGCGGCGCGTGGGTGATGCGGCACAGGTGATTCCTCCGGCGGTAAGTCGCGATGAAGCCTTGAGCACAACGGTGGGTTGATATCACTACCGGAAGCACTCATTTGAAAGTCGCGATACTGTTCACGCTGGAATTCTGGCCGGAAAAAAATCATAACACTACCCTAACAATTGCCATAGTCGCTCTGATACCATGTGAACAAGTATTATTATATTTCATATACTTGATATTAAAATGATATACAAGAAGCTATATTTGTAGCTATATTTAGAGTACTAGGGTTTCCTATACAAGATATACAAATGGGCTAAGCCCAATACTACTAGGGTTTCCACAAGGTGTACGAAGCCATTTACACCCAAGGCATGACTGCCCCTTTAAGCAGTTGCGGGTAATGATAGCTAAGGAGGATGAGGAGTTGGACCTCCAACATCATGAGTACTGTGAAATAACCGGTCAGGAAAAGGTTCAGGAAGGAGATGAAGGATATTTCCAGTCTATTCTATGGCTGGAAATTTCAGTTCTCGATTTGCGAGATTTCAACCTTGAGGACAAGGTTATTTTGAAGAAGGATGGATTGATAGAGAGCAGGAAGAGCATTGGACGGGAACGGGCTTTGGCCCATTTCCGTGGGCTGGTTATGGGCTGTCATTATAAATTTATTTATTATTATTAAATTTAATGTTATGTTTTAGTTTGGGCCTATTATTAGTAAGAGTACTTAGTAGAGTTAGTATTGGCTTAATTAGGATTTAATTAATTTGGGCTTGATTAGGGTTTCTCTTAGAAGGCTATTTATACCCATTGCCCGGGTTCATTCTATCTTATCTTGGAATAAAATTGGTTTTAGCCTTTTGGCTCTGGGCAACGTTATTTTTATAGTTCATTATCTGGGCAACGGTTTACCCCGTTGATTTTATTTTTCTGTTACACAACACTTACCTAACCTTTTCTATGTTGCAAAATAGCCTAAAAGTGATGTTCGAAATTAAGGAGTTCCTTTATGTTTGTTTAGCAGGTCATTAGGTTGTCTGCTGCAACACAGGATCTTCCAAGATCAGTCATATGCAACGTCCATGGAGTGAACCCGAAATTTCTTGAAATTGGCAAGAAAAAAAATGAAGAGCAAGTAAATGGAAACCAAGCCTTCACCAAAGGTGCATACTACATTGGGAAGATGCTGTGGAGCAAAGGATACAAGGAGCTACTTAAACTTCTACGCAACCATCAAAAGGAACTGTCAGGACTTGAAATTGATTTATATGGTAGTGGTGAGGATTCTGCTCAAATTCAGGAAACTGCTAACAAATTGGAATTAACAATTAGGGTTCATCCTGGACGCGATCATGCTGATCTGATTTTCCATGAGTAAGTGCTGCTCCTACTAGCTTCTACTTCCAATGTGTTGTTACTTCACATGGGGTCCCTTTGGAATCTGTAAATTTTTAAGGGAAATAAAATAGAGGGAAAAATTGGATGGGAAAATATTTAGGGGGGGGGGGGAGATAGTTCAAACTCAAGATGTCAATGTTAGATCTTTGCCATTCTCATTTTCTTTGTATATTTGTTTATTCTCAAACTCAAGATTTCCATTTTATAGAGGTGGGCATAAAACCCGAACCGAACCGGTACCGAACCGTCCTGTAATTGTACCGAACCGAATACCGGATATTTAAACGGTTCTATAGATTTTTATCCCGTACTGAAACCATACCGTTTGAAATGGGTACGGGACCGATCCTAGATTTTGAGAACCGAAAAATACCGGACCGAACCGTTCTAAAATAATGCATTTGAATTTTTTTATATTTTTTCTATACCACTATATCTTTTTTATAGACCAACAATTTTATACCCCAAGTATGCATTCATGTGTCCCTAAGATATCTAATTGTGTGTGTTTATATATATTGTTATTTTTCTTTTTAGATAATATATGTTATATTTTGGTATGTATTGAAATAATATTAAAATTTTAGAAATCATTAATGACTATTCAATTCTAGCAATGTAGTGTACATGACTTTTTGTTGTATCATGTTAGTGCAATTTTTACAACTTAATTAATATGGTTTAAATCTTAGCTCTCAAGGTTCAATTATAAATTAAATTAGAAGTACGGAGTAATATTTAACATAGAACAAAGAAGAAGAGTGTTGATGATTTCTATAAGGAAAAATTGACAAGAATAATCCCACCTTTCACTGGTCTTCTCATAATAATCTCACCTTTAAATAATCCCAAAATAATCCTACCTTTGCACCTCATCTTCTTTCATTGGACCCTAACCATGTTTTTTACTCTTTTCTTTGAAAATTATATAAATAATCTCACCTTTCACTTTTTAATCATATCCTTATAAATGTGAGATTATTTATATAAGACTTTTAAAAAAGGTAAAAAAAACTTGGTCAGGGTCCAATGAAAGAAGATGAGGTGTAAAGGTGGGATTATTTTGGGATTATTTAAAGGTGGGATTATTATGAGAAGACCAGTGAAAGGTGAGATTATTCTCGTCAATTTTTCCTTTCTATAATTCTATTACATTCAACAATTTGATGATATTCGTTTTTATATTTTCACATGAACTTAGTAAATTAAAAATGATATTTATCTCGTGCGTCATCGTTTTGCTATACTTTTTCTTAGTTGTTTTGCACTATTTTTGAATTTTAGTACTACATATGCAATTTCTTGTATTTATTTCAACATTTCATGTGAGTTCGTTGGTGTTATGATATCTACTATTCGGTACCATTTTTTAGCATGTTTTTGGCACTGTACCGTACCGTTTTGTACCGTTCCGAAACAACATGGTACCTAACGGCTCTATCCTTGGAACCGGACCCTACTGAACAATTAAAAACCTCACGGATACATTACGGATTTTACCAATTTACCGGACCGTTCCGGACCGCGCCCACCCCTACCATTTTATGTAAATATATGTACAACAACAACAACATCCAAGTCTTAATCCCAAAAGAATTTGGGGTCGGCTAACATGAATCTATCCATGAGATCGATGCAAAAAAGAGAAGACAAAAAAACAAAAACAAAAAGATAAAATGGATAAGATAGATGAATAAATATAACTTAACAATAACATAAGAATATAAGAAAGATAAAAGATAAAAAGATAAAATAACATAAAAAGGCTAGAAGATAAAAATAAAAGAAAAAGATAGAGGAAAGATAGAAAAGAGATCAATCGTCCACACGAATGTGCGCCCTCCACATTTTAAATATATATTACGTCAGAAAATCAAATTTTAAAATTTTATTCCATTTTTCTTTGGGGGGGGGGATAATAAAAAATAAAGACTCCACTTGTTCATCATTCTTTCAGTCCATACATTAAAATATTAATACTGCATTGATTCCGGTCCATCCATTTTGTATTATTTGGTAGTTAGATCCCAAGCCAGGTTAGTGATGTTTTAAAACCCATTTGATCACATCTGGAAATAGCCTAAATTCATTGGACCGATCGCACTTCACATTTATTAATGTTTTTTCCTGTTGGTTACTGTATCTGCTCAAGTATCATTACATGCATTTTCAATAATATTTACACACGAAATCAATAAGAAAACGAATGGATTTGATTTTAAAACTTATCCATTATAATCCGAGTTAAAATTTATCAATTCTCCTTTAGTCCATTTTTCACCTTACTTATTTACTTAACAGGCATGTTGGTAAGAGTAGAAATACTGGAAAGTATCTTTTTTTGTGAGCAAATAGGTGTTCATTTGTGTCTGGGACTGTTGTATTAGATTTAAGTTAAGGGCTGTTTTGCTGACTGAATATGCTGAATTCCCCTTAACGGCCAGTTTTTGGTAACACCTTTTCAGCCAAATAAGTAATTCCAAAGCTATTTATTATTCTGTTTATTCTCCTCGCATGCTTTATAAGTTACTTTTAGCTACCAAAATGGTGTACTTAGTTTGCTACGTTGCTTTAAGCATCACTTGTTTCCTATAATTCTGCAGATTAATTATGTTGCTTCTTTTATACTAATAGTCATAATAATTTCAACAACTATTTCCTGTTTTCTTATTTATTTTAGCTACAAAGTCCTTCTGAACCCGAGCACGACAGATGTGGTCTGTACGACCACAGCCGAAGCTTTAGCAATGGGCAAAATAGTAATATGCGCAAATCACCCTTCAAATGAATTCTTCAAGCAGTTCCCTAATTGCCGCACGTACAATGACGGGGCTGGTTTCGTTGACTCCACTCTCCGGGCATTGACTGAGCAACCTGCCCCACTGACCAATGACCAAAGGCACGAGTTATCATGGGAATCAGCAACAGGCCGGTTTCTGAAAGCAGCTGATCTGGATAACTTGCCCTCTAAGAAGAAACTAGCCACGAAGAAGAGCTCAAAGCTTTCTATCTCCGAGTCCATGAATCTCAAAGAGAATCTTGAAGATGCATCAGCATTTGTACATTATGTAGGAACTGGGTTCCTAAACTCGCAACCAAATGAGGAACAATGTAAAGAGCTAGGCCTTGCTGTGCCTACTCCCAAGAAGAAGGGGCTTTCTTCTGGTAAAGAGAGTTATTCTGAAGTTTGTGAATAGGGGTAAAGTTAGTGTTGTGACTTGTGACTAATTCTCCCCATTTTAAGGTGAAAGTTATACGGTCAATGTGTTATTATCATTTTCGCATCTTTTGTAAATTATCATTGTTTTTTATTGGACTGTTTACGGACCTTGAGTCCTACTCAACATATATAGTGGATTCTTAACATGTGAAATAGTGACTAGGCAAAGGAGAGACAAAACCTTTACTTCAATTTTTCAAAGATGCTTTTTATACATTTTAGGGCTTCTTTAGTTTGAAAATTTGGAAAGGAGGGGGGGGGGGGGGGGGGGGGAGGCCGGGAGGGTGATATTTATTTTTAAATATACTTAATTGGTTGGAATTGGAAATAAAGTGAGTATATAAAAACAATTCCTCCGTGGCTCCGTCTAAAAGTAACATTGTAGATTTTTATCATAATTAGAATTAGAAATTAAAATTTGCACATAAAAAATTACATTAGAAGTTTAGCAAACTATGAAGAATATAGTTAAGTTTATATTTATTTTTGGGGATTTTTCCCAAGTAGACCAAAAGATGAAAATAATATCACTTTTATCAATTTTCTAAACTTTTTTCAAAAATGGACTAACTAAAAATTTCCTTTCAAAAAAGACCATTCTCCTGGAAGCACACCTACGGACTACTGTAATGCCTTCTCACGAGATATTGAATGTAGTGCGCATCTAAAGTCTCAATCATGACACCTTTCATAAATAAATTAACTAATACAGAATTCTTTCATAATAATCACGTGAAAATGTAATTCAAATTGCATGCACTTACTCATTCTTTATTTTTAAATAGAAAAACAAAAAAGTATGACTTACAATTAGCTAGGAAATAATTTGAAAAATAATGCTACGTATAAAAATAATTAGGAGTTCTGACTTATGAATACAATTAGAAAATTAATAAAAATCCAAATACTAATAGAGAATTTTAAAAGGTTTAAAAACTTAAATTCAAAAATAAAAATATTTCACAAAATGAATAATAAAAAATGAAAATTTCAAAACTTGTAATTTAAATTTTAAAATGAAATCTGAAAATTTTTAAAAATGTGTAGAAAAATAGAAATTTAAAACTTGAAAATACAATTTAAAATTTAAATTAGTCAGAAATGTGGAAAATTCTACAAAATACAAAAAGTACGGTAATGAAAATTCAAAATAGTTTGATAGAAGTTTGATAAAAACAATACGTGTATAATTTTTATCAAACTATAAAAATGTAAAAATAATAAAAATTTGAAAGTTTGATAAAAGGAGAATGTTTAAAGGATAAAGTATAAATATAAAAAAAAGAAAATGTCATTTAAATTCAAAAATTTGTAAGTTGAATTAAAAACATACTTGTCAATCAGAAAATTTTAGTACATCTAAAAGAAGATGTAGATTCGTTTTTATATAAATACTAGGAACAATATAAAAAACTTTAAATTACACTAATTATATTGTTGCAACTTTTAAAAATCTGGAGATGGTACAAAACATGACTTTGTGCAATTTAAAGTTTTTTGTAAAAGACTAAAACCTTTTTTAATCATCACTATATTGTTAATTTTGTTGCAAAATGGGAGGTTGTTTTGGCCGCACAATTTTCACTGCTAAGATCTGGTTCTTAGTTATATATATGCGTATATTTGGACTAGGCTTCTTGAGTTTTAAATCTGGCTGAGTTTATGTTGTCCGTTTGGAATTCGGGAAAGTAGGATTCAAAGACAACTTAATTTTGTTGCTAAACGTTGTTAAAAACCCAGGCAACTGAACATTTTATGCCCCATAGCATCACCTAATTCTGATTTTAAGATATTTAAGCCTTTGGATAGATACTTTCTCAATTTTCTAACGCATGGATTCTATTTCAATGTTGGCACCAGTCTCGTGTTCAGTTAATAGGGCAATTAGATTTCATTGTTGCCATATTCTTTTTCTCCTATCCGTGGGGTTAATTTACTTATAAAATTTTCTGTGGTGTATGTGTTTGAGGCATATTTGATTGGCGAGAGTTCTTGAAGAGAGGGCTGCTACCAATCTCAGCTAGAAGGAAACCTTATAGTCACTACAGTAGCACTGAACAACGATTCCTTTAACCTTATTTAAGCAGTACATGAATAAACTAGTCAATTTTATTACAAATGGCTGCATCGCTGTAGCTAAAGATTTCCATAGTTTAATAAGGTTTAAGACATCAGATGGTAATTATTTTATTACATCTAATTAAAGATTTCAAAGAAGAGCTTACCGGGAGACGTTATTAAGGTGCCACCTATATATGATAGTTCTATATAAAGTATGGAAAATTAGCTAATTGTGAATTTGATATACATGCTTGGATTGAATACTAAATGTTAGAGCATGTGTGTAGTCCTCACATTAGAACATTAGATTTTGGTGTACAATAAACCTATTTTTGATTACCTATTTCTCATAATATTTAATATATATTTTTACATATTCAATATCGGTGTCATATGGAAGCTCAAAAAATTTACTTAATTTGATATGACTTTTGAAAAAAATAGAGCACAAATGAAAAAGTTATTTTAATTTTTTAAAAAAAAAATATTGCAAGCCAACATTTGAACATTGATTTAATGTTTTACAAAGTTTTAGTTGCAAAATCATTTTTTACCTCTTGATTGTGACGTTTTTGAGCGGCAAATTTGATCATTCTTTTAATTTGGTTTGTATATACATAGACTTGTAAAAAAATCTCTAAAAACATCCCTAGTCGGCCTGCACATGCCTAGAGACGGGCTGAACTTACTTCGACGAAAGCCCAATTACTCTACTAACCCTAATACCCAGTTCTTATCTCAAATATAATGCTGCCATACCAATCCCGCAGCAACGTTTAACGACGCCGTCTTTCTGAGTTTTCCGTCCCTTTAAATCATGGCTACTCAGATGAGCAAGAAGCGAAAGGTTAGTTAAATGTAAATCTAATTCAAACGGCATGGTACTTATATGTTTTACATATGCTCACACAAAGTTGCTTTTCATTGATTTTGCAGTTCGTCGCTGATGGAGTTTTCTTCGCGGAACTTAATGAGGTTTTGACGCGAGAGCTTGCTGAGGATGGATACTCCGGAGTCGAGGTCAGAGTCACTCCTGTCAGGACAGAGATCATTATACGCGCCACTCGTACTCAGAATGTTCTCGGTAATTCTCTCCCTGACTCTGTTAGATACAATATTAAAATCGTTGATTTGTTCTATTAGACTAAAAGACCCTAGATTTTGAATCACTAAAAAGATTTCATTGCTCATGTGACCTATAAGTTTGCTTTGGGTTTTTTATTTGTGTTGGTTCCATCTTACTCTTTGTATATTGAAGAATCAATGTGTATTTGACTTTCTACATGTTTGCGAGACAAAACCCTAATGTGGAAATTTGATAATGTTATTCTGTTTCTCCATCTTGTGTGTATAATAACATATTCCAATTCTCATAACCTGTTTGTTACTCCAGTTATGTCTTATATAGAGTATATTTTCATTAACGGGCTATTTTACATCCTATGTGAATGAATGGATTTTTAGAATTGTTCTAATTGCCTACTATTGAATATTAATAAAATTTTAACTCTAAGGTGTAATATTCATTCATCATGTAAAAACAAAGCTCTAATTTTTCAAGTAGACAAATTTACAAGTAGGTTACTGCCTAGCGGGTTTTGTGTGGAACACTAATACTTTTGCTTAGCAGGTGTTTGATACACTTATTGATTCTCAATTCATTATCCATAGGTGAGAAAGGAAGGAGAATTAGGGAACTGACATCACTGGTCCAGAAACGGTTCAAGTTTGAGGAGAACACTGTGGAGCTGTATGCCGAAAAGGTGCAAGATAGGGGTCTTTGTGCCATTGCTCAGGCGGAGTCCCTCCGCTACAAACTTCTTGGCGGTCTTGCTGTTAGGAGGTAAAGCTCATTGAGCTATGTGCATTGAGTTTTGTTAACTGACCTATTCAGTATGAATTTGTTGGTTGTTAACCAAACTTGGATTGACGAAGTAGAAAGTGATGAATGTGGTAGTCATATGTTAACTTCAATTTATGTCATCAACAAAGCAAATTGATTTTTCTAATATCATTTTTGTGTCGGATGATGACTAGAAAAACTGTTTAACAAACCTCCCTGCTAATCAAGTGATGCTGTATTTCTGCAGGCACCTCAAGTTTAGCTAGGAAACATAAATTCCTATTTTGCATTCTTTTAACTCTAGACTAGAATCCATGTGGTTTGTAAGCAATAGCTTGCAGATATGTTTTTTACCATTACAATAGTCATCTATAAAGCAAATTGGTCACTTTACATACTGATCTTGTGTCGGAAGATGACCACAGTGTTTCAGCTCCTACATGACTGAATCAGGAGTTGCCTTATGTATCATCATAAGCTAACAAGTCTGTTTGGATTGCAACATGTCTTGAAATTCATAATAAGCACGTTAATTATTTATGAATGACTTTGATTGATTGTTTTCATGTTATTTGTTTAGGGCATGCTATGGTGTCCTGCGATTTGTTATGGAAAGCGGAGCAAAGGGTTGTGAGGTATTTATCTTGGATATATTAATTTGATTTCATCTTGAAAGAGTGCGGTAAAATTCTTTTCTTTCTTTAAGGTGATTGTCAGTGGAAAGCTTAGAGCTCAGCGTGCTAAATCTATGAAGTTCAAAGATGGTTACATGATATCTTCAGGTCAACCCGTGAAGGAATACATTGACACTGCTGTGAGACACATTCTAATGAGACAGGTCTGCCATCCTTTCCTCACTTTTTATATAATGTTAAGAGTTTTGTTTGGTTGAATGAGCATCGTGCGTGAACTTTATCCAGAAGTTCCAAAGACAAATATGGTGCATTTAAATAAATACCTAAGCAAAAAATACTACTTCTTTCCTGAAATTAGAGTATCATGATAGGTAGCTTGTTTGATTAAATGAACATTGCATGAATTTTATTTGGAAGTTACAAAGACACACTGTTCAGTTAAATAAACACCTAATGAGAGTAGCCCCGCTCAACTTTTGACTGCATAGATGACAACTGTGTGTCAAACTGCATCATCTTACTTTAGTTAATGTCTTGATATTTTTAGAAACAAATAATCATATCCCACCTGTGTATGCTACCTTTGTACATTATTATTTCTAATAGTTTGACCTTTTTACAAATCACTTTAACCGCACCATACTTGTAAGT